TTCCAAAGTCCAAAAGGGATTCATCTGTGAGTGGAATGGATTTGAGCAAGGTTGAGGGTGAAAAATCTGGTGAGAGAGTGGTTGAGGAGTCTGGTGAAAGAGTGGCTGAGGAGTTTGCTGAGAAGGTTTTCAAGAAATCTACAGACAAAGGAAAGAGTGTAAGAAAACCAGTAAAGCGAAAGGCTGGTGCTAATGAGGAACATGGTTTCTCTAAAAAGGTTAGAGTGAATGTGGTCAGGGATGAGGAAAGGGAGAATTTGAGAAATCAGAAGGTGCTTTGGGGCCGCACATTTGCCCCTGAAATTCTTGATATGTCAGGAATGCGCCAACTGGCTGACATCTGTGAATACCAACAGTGGGCACATTTGTTCACTAGTGACAGTCCTAAAGTTTATGAGGCAGAAGTGCGCAGTTTCTATGCCAACTTCTTTGTAGTTGAGGATGATAATATCTGTCTAAAAGTGAATGGTATTGATTTTGTGATGGACACTACTGTACTGGGAACCATTTTGGGCGTGCCTACTGGGGGAATGTCCACCATTGAGGGAACCTGTTCTTCTAACTTCAGAAATGCTATCGTGAAGGATAAGGCAATACAACAAGGGGAACGGGTACACAAGAAGGCCCTCCTTCCAGTGTACCAACTGCTGTTTGAATTGGTGAACAAAGTATTGCTCCCACGCGCAGAAAGACGGTCCATTACTTCACGAGTAGAATTGGTTCTCATGGAAGCACTGGATGGCTACACCACTATAAATCTGCCTGGTCTTATGATAGAACATATGAAGAAGGTGTTAGAGTTCAAGGATGGTAATCATTGGCTTCCTTACGGGTTCCTCCTCACTAAAGTTTTTGAATTTTTCAAAGCACCATTGGAAAAGCTAAGGTGGGAAGTCGCAAGCAAACCTTCTCCAAGACCACCCTCGAGGAGTCTGAATGCATTGATAGGAGTGGAGGGGTTGGCAGCAATTCTACTATCTCTCAGTTGATCAACGCTCAGAACAGTGCCATTGAAGAGATAAGGAAGCTGAAGGCAAAGAATGCCATTCTTGAAGGTCATCTCAGTCGGGTTCAGGAGGCACTTGGTTCCAGTAGCTCATGAAGCACAAGGGTTGCCCGTCTGACAAAAGAAAATGTTGACCTCAGGAAACAGGTTGAGGACCTGAAGGAGAGACTGTTCAACGAGCAGGTGTCAGCTAATGCTCGAATGGACATCCTTCTTAGAACCCTTGCCTCTTCATCTGGGCCTTCTCCTTCCAGTGCTCCCTAAAAATTGTTCCCTTCCCAGTGTCAAGTTCCTTATATTTGTCCTCTGTTTTTAGTCCTAATGATGTTTATGACTGGTACCTTTTTGTTGTTTTTGTTTTGTGGATGTTTTGGTAACAATGGAACTTCTCCCTGCTTAATTTCCAAAAATTAATGAAAGTTTCGTCCTTTTGATGTGTATGTCTTGCTCTTTTACTCTGTTTTCACGATTGTGTGCACACATGTGGCATAAGTTAACCAAGGTAGACTTTTTTTTCTTATTACTTGTTGCTGATCTTTTTATGATGCCAAAAGGGGGAAATATAATTGAGGGAGAACAAGACGGGGAACAGATTCAGGGGGAATACAACAGATTTAGAGGGAATACAGGAAATGCGTATGTCATTCTTGTTCTTAGAGGGAACTTCAATTATAAATTTGTCATCATCAAAAAGGGGGAAATTGATAGGTTATATGTATCCCTATTATGTTTTGATGATCTAATAAACTTAATGTTAAGAACCAGATAAAGGAACCTGTTACACATCCTCAAGTACTTAAGATCAACAAGTCTCAAGTCGGGGACATGGTTCAACTCTTTAGAGTCAAAGGAACAATAGAGGGAACAGATGGCCACCAATTCCCTTGGTGACTGTACAAGTCAACTCCCCACAGCTGTAAAGTTGATTCTTGTACACGCAACAGTGCAAAAACAGTGCAGCAGTCAACTTTATAGGGAATGCCCTTTACCTAACATGCTTGCATCATTCAAGTGATGTAAAAAATGAATTATTAACATCAAGAAAAGGTAAAACAAAACACTTGCACATTCAAGAATCAATCAAGCATTCTCTCAAGTGATCAATCAATCTGGCAAGTGATTCTCAAGGGCATCAAGAACAAAGAACAACATAACGATGGACCAATTCCTTGTATTGAGTCATTACATGTCCTTAGTTGTGTTGCACCTTTGTTAAAGTACTTTACTTGTAATTCCTACTTAGCTTAGTTAGAAGCACTGTGTAGGAAACCTTTGTAAATTATGAACCTTTGTGTTTGTGTCTTGGCTAGAGTTAGTCGAGTTGTAAAGCATTGTAATAGAGTTATTACAAAGTGTCTTGTAATAGAGTTGTTACAAGTTAGTGAGAGATTAAGAGGTTAATTCCTAGGTTACAATAGGTTGTAATCTGAAGTTTGCTCGGTAGTGAAGTTGAAATCCTACAAGGGTAGCTCGTGGTTTCTAATCCCGCGAGCTGAGTTTTCCACGTAAAACTCCATTGTGTCATTTACTTACTGCAGTGTGCATGTGTTCTTGGGAATTAATAGAAAATATGGTTCTCTATATAATTTGTTGGACCCTTAGTTTCTATTAAAGTTGCTTGCAAATTTCCTAATAGAAAACCTGGTTCTCTATATAATTTGGTGGACCCTTAGTTTCTATCAAAGTTGCTTGCAAATTTCCTTCATGATTTTCAAGATTTCCAAGATTCTATCCAAGATTGGTTTTGGACTTTCAAGATGCTATCCTAAAGTAGTTGGACCTTTTTGTCCAAAGTAGTTAGGATTTTTTTTCTTTTTCAAGATTTCTAAGATTTCCAAGATTGGTTTTGGACTTTCAAGATCCTATCCTAAGGTAGTTGAACTTTTTGTCCAAAGTAGTTAGGACTTTCTTTCTTTGTTTTTTGGTAGAATTCCGTGACTCCCTCTCTATATAAAGGGGTATATTCTTTGTTTTTAGAAGATTATATAGATAATATCAATAAAAATTGTGATATTTTTCTTGCACTCTTGTGTGTGGTTACTCCTGAATTTATTCTTCAACCTTCAAGAATCAACTTAAGGTGGTAAGATTAAACTATTTTCGAAATATTAGATCACTTCCGAGTATTCAAGAAAGGTGATAAGTTTAGGCTTATTGTTGTTCTTGTTATTCTAAAGTGTCGGGTTTCACAATTTATCTCTTTTTTTTAATTATCTACCAAAGGCGATTAGTTCTTTGTTAGCTAATTGTTGTTTCTAGGATTTATCTTCAAGAATAGATTTCTTAAATTCAAGAACTTCTTTCTTGAATTCAATCTATCTTTAATTTATGTCTTCTTTTTCGTTTGTCTATTTTCTTTTAGCTTCCACACGTTTCTTAATTTTCTTTAGTAAATCTTGGACCCTTATCATGTTGTTATCATAACCTAACACCATAATGCTCGACCACCACACCTTTCTATCAAGGTCCATGTCCTTGGAAATCTGAAGCCACGCCATGTCTCGCCTGATCACTTCTTCTCAATACTTCTTAGGCCGCCCTCTCCCTCTTCTCAAACCCCCCAAGGCCAACCGCTCACACCTCCTGATCGGGGGATCTGGGCTTCTCCTTCGCACGTGCCCGAACCATTTAAGCCTCTCTTCCCGCATCTTGTCATCCACAGGGGCCACACCCACCTTCTCCTGAATATCTTCATTCCTAATCTTATCCATCCTAGTGTGCCCGAACATCCACCTCAACATCCTCATCTCTGCTACTTTCATCTTCTGGATATGTGAGTTCTTAACTGGCCAATACTCTGCCACATACAACATGACCGGTCTGAGCACCGCTCTATAAAACTTACCTTTGAGTATCTGTGGCACTTTCTTGTCACACAGAACTCCAGATGCTAACCTCCATTTCATCCACCCTACCCCTATACGGCGTGTGACATCCTCGTTGATCTCCCTATCCCCCTGGATAATCGACCCAAGGTACTTGAAAATGCCTCTCATAGGGATGACATATGATCCAAGCCTCACGTCCAAGCCCGCTTCTCTCAACTCAATGCCGAACTTGCACTCCAGGTATTCTGTCTTAGTCTTGCTCAACTTGAAAACCTTAGACTTAAGGTCCTGTCTCCAAACCTCCAGCCTCTCGTTAATGCCGCCTTGCGTCTCGTCAATTAGAACTATATCATCAGCGAACAACATACACCATGGCACCTCCCCTTGAATATGTCGTGTCAGTGCATCCATCACTAGAGCAAATAAGAACGGACTGAGCGCAGGTCCTTGGTGTAAGCCCATAACAATCGGGAAGTGCTCCGAGTCGCCTCCCATAGTCCTAACCCGAGTTTTAGATCCATCATACATGTCCTTAATCTCACTAATGTAGGCAACCAGCACCACCTTTTTCCCTCCAGGCATCTCCAACGAACCTCCTTAGGGACCTTGTCATACGCTTTCTCCAGGTCAATAAATACCATGTGCAGATCCTTCTTCCTATCCCTGTACTGTTCCACCAACCTCCTAATAAGGTGGATGGGGTTCGTAGTTGAACGACCCGGCATTAACTCAAACTGGTTGTCATATATAGACATCGTCCTCCTCACCCTCACTTCGACCACCCTCTCCCACACTTTCATAGTATGACCAATAACTTGATACCCCTATAGTTGTTGCAACTCTGGATATCACCTTTGTTCTTATACAACGGTACCACCGTGCTCCACCTTTACTCGTCCGGCATCCTCTTCTTTCTGAAAATAACATCAAACAGCCTGGTCAGCCACTCCAAGCCTGCTCTACCCACATACCTCCAAAATTCTACTGGAATTTTGTCCGGCCCTGTAGCTCTGCCCCTACTCATCTTATGCATAGCCCCCACTACCTCCTCAAATCGTAATGCGCCTACAGTACCCAATGTCTTGGTGACCCTCGGAATTCCCCAATTCACCTACCGCAATGTCTCGGTCCCCCTCTTCATTCAATAGTTTATTAAAGTATGTCTGTCATCTTCGCTTAATCTGAGCCTCTCCCATCAAAACTTTACCATCCTCGTCTTTGATGCACCTCACTTGGTCTAGATCCCGAGCCTTTATCTCTCTCACCTTGGCCAGCCGGAATAACTTTTTTTCCCCACCTTTGTTCCCCAGTTCCTCGTATACACAACCAAACGCTGCAGTCTTAGCCTCCGTGACTGCCAACTTCGCCTCCTTCCTAGTTACCTTATACCTCACCCTGTTCGCTCTCCTCTCATCCTCGCCTGTGCTACCTACTAACTTCAGGTACACCGCCTTCTTCGCTTCCACTTTACCTTGGACCACTTTATTCCACCACCAGTCGCCTTTGAGCCCGCCAGAGAAACCCTTCGAGACCCCTAACACCTATCTCGTCGCCTCCCTTATACAGTTCGTCGTCGTCGTCCACATACGCTCGTGTCCCCGCCTCCAGGCTCCCATAGCCGACAACCTCCCCTCCAACTCCTAAGTTTTATCTGTAGTCAAGGCTCTCCACCTAATCCTCGGCCATCCATGTACAGACCTCTTCTTCCTCTTAATCATGATACCAAAGTCCATCAGCAAGAGCCTATGTTGCATCGTGAATCACTCACTTGGGATAACCTTACAATCCTTGCACATCCCTCTATTACACCTCCTGATAAGGCGATAATCAATTTGAGTCTTCGCCATCGCACTTTGGAAAGTGACTAAATGTTCCTCCCTCTTAGGAAAGCTAGAGTTCGCAATGACCAACTCAAATGCCTTTGCGAAATCCAACAGCGAAGTACCTCCTCCGTTCCTATCCCCAAAACCAAAGCCGCCATGCACCTCGCCATAGCTACCAGTAGTCGACCCAATATGACCATTGGAATCTCCTGCGATAAATAACCTCTCTGTCGGAGGAATACTATGCACTATCTCATCCAACCCCTCCCAAAAGCCCCTTTTAACCTCCTCATCCAAGCCCGCATGTGGCGCATACGTGCTAACGATATTAAGAGTGCACCCTCCAACCACTAACGTAATAGATATTAATCTATCATTCACCTACCTAACCTCTGCCACAGACTCTCTAAGTTCCCTATCCACCAAGATACCCACTCCATTCTTACCCTTTATGACTACAGAATACCATAGATTATACCCGTCTGCATTCCTCGCCGTCGATCCTACCCACCTAGTCTCCTGGACACAAGCTATACTGACCTTGCTTTTCTGGAGAATTTTTTCCAACTCTATAGACTTACCCGTCGATGTACCTATGTTCAAATACCCAATTCTCAACCTATGGACTCCCTTGTTCCCTTTACTCCCCCTTTCCTCCTGTCCCACCTCCTGACCCCTACCCCACCCCAACCCACCCCGAGGACATGACCTTACTCTGCCATCATAGACCACAACCATAATACCTATGACAGACTAAGGGGAAATTGCTAACAAAAAAGCAATAGAACAAACTAGAAGAAAACAAGAAACGTTACTACATGCACGCTAATAGTATGATTAGCTAATACGCACAAAAACAACAACAATTTAACTAACACAAAGAAGAGAAATAGGAAAGCGGGAGGTACCAACTCCCGCGAGTAGAACTTGTAAATTCGACTAGGAGCACTCCCGAGGTTGCGGAGACTAAGGTTCTTCCTTCCAACTCCCATCAGCCTTTGCGAACACCAACCAATGTCGGGGCTACTCTGTTGCACCGAATAAATCAATTCCGGCCTTCCACGCGCTGCCGCCACTTTTACTACCGTCGGCTTCTCTAGTAGGTACCTGCAACACTCAAAAGAGGGCAGCCTCTTGGGCAACAAAAGGGGACAAATACTAGAAAAGGGTCGCTGAAGTGCTGCCCCTATTCGAATCCGAGTAGAGGCGACCTGAGAAAGAGGAGGAGAAGAGAATGGGAAATAGGAGCAAGAAAGGAGAGAGAGAGAGAGAGAGAGAGAGAGAGAGAGAGAGATAAAGGAATATCTACGGGGGTACAGTGACGGAGAAGAAGAGTAGGTGGAGGAGAAGAAGGGGAAGGAAAGGGGAGGGGGAAGAGGGAAAAAGCAAGAGAGAAAATGGTAGGGTAATACTCACCTGTGTATTTTCAGCCTTACTCCAGCGGAAGAAGGAAAAAGCAAGAGAGAAAATGGTAGGGTAATACTCACCTCTGTATTTTCGGCCTTACTCCGGCGGTGGCGCAGACGATATGGGTCACCGGCAAAGTCACAAGGGCGTTAGCAAATAGAAAGCAGAGAGGGGAATACTTAGATCTGTTCGCTCTGAAATTTAAGTTGTGGTTTGATTAAATTGTATTTTTGTCAATTGTTTCAAATATGTATATAATTCAGTATTACTTATACTTTATTAACAATCAAATGGAAATATGACTTAATATTTTTAAATTACATGAAAAAATAATTTTCCCTGTCAACGTGTTAAAAATACCTCATTTATTCATGGATGGGCTAAGTTAGTGCATGTCCCACATCATCCCATTGGGCAAGTATGTATCACATGATTTAACCCAAATAGTCGCCCACCTAAAAAAGCCGACGGATATATTGTAACTACCCGGCCAGTCGTTCTGAGAGTTGTATCCCTGTTCCCCCATTTACTGCTCATTTTGTACTTTATAAGTATTATGTGACTTGCTGGGTTAGTTGGTTCGTGTTCGGAGAGATTTCGGAATGAGTTGAGACACTTAGTCTCAAGGTTGGAAGCTTAAGTTGAAATGGTTGACCGGATGTTGAGTTATGTGTAAACGACTCCGGAATGGAGTTTTTATGGTCCCGTTAGCTCTGTTGGATAATTTGAACTTAGGAGCGTATCCGGATTGTGATTTGGAGGTCCGTAGTGGAATTAGGCATGAAATGGCAGAAGTTAGAAATTTAGAAGTTTGACTGAGAGTGGACTTTGTGGTTATCGGGATCGGATTGAGTTTTGGGAGTTGGAGTAGGTCTATGGTGTCATTTGTGACTTCTATACAAAATTTGGGGTCAATCGGACATGATTTGATAGGTTTTGCCGTCGTTTGTAGAAGTTGGAATTCCTTAGTTTCAATAGGCTTGAATTGGAGTGCGATTCGTGTTTTTGATATTTATTGAGGTGATTTGAGGGCTCGACTAAGTTCGTATGATATTTTGGGAGATAGTATGTTTGGTTGAGGTCCCGAGGGCCTCGGGTTGATTCCGGATGATTAACGGATCAAAAGTTAAAGTTGAGAGGTTGCTGAAGCTGGAGTCTACTGGTGTAATCGCACCTGCGGAGCTCTGATTGCAGGTGCAGGTTGAAATGCGCAGATGCGAGTTTGAAGGGGAGTGAGCAGGTGCGGAGGATTTTCCGCACCTGCATGGCCGCATATGCAGTGATGGGAGCGCAGAAGCGAAATCAGAGTTGGGAGTTGGGTCCGTAGAAGCAGCATTGAGGCTCGCAGAAACGAGTCCGTAGGAGTGGAAGGTTGGGCCACAGGTGCGGAGGAAACCACAGAAGCAGGCGATGCGTCGCTCTTGCGAAACCATAGAAGCGGGTAAGTGGTCGCAGGTGCGAGAAGTCCTGGGCAGAATGTTTAAAAATGAGGGTTCCGTGTTTTTCTTCATTTTGAACATTTCAAGCACGGGGACAGGCAATTTTTGAGAGGGTTTTCGAGGGGATTCTTGAGGTAAGTCCCTTGTGCTTATTTTTGTTCAATAATCTTGTTTTCCCATTGATATTCTCACCTAGATTGTGGGGTTTTGATGTGTAATTTGGAAGTTTAAGCTAGGGATTTGGAGAGTTTGATTAGGGAATTTGGGTGACGATTTGGTGTCGGATTTTCGTAAATTTGGTGTGGTTAGACTCGTGGTTGAATGGGCTTTCGAGTTTTGTGACTTTTGTCAGATTTCAAGACGTGGGCCTGTAGGCCGGCTTTAAGTCGATTTTTGACTTTTGATTTATAAATTAGTATTTCCTTATGGAATTATTTTCTTTAGCCCATGTTGATTATATCGCATTGTTTGTGGCTAGATTCGAGGCATTTGGAGGCCGATTTACGAGGCAAAGATGTGTTAGAGTAGAGATTTGCTCGGATTGAGGTAAGTAATAGTTCTAAATTTGGTTCCAAGGGTATGAAACCCCGTATTATGTATCTTATGAATGGTTTGGAGGTGACGCACATGCTAGGTGAGGGGCATGTGGGCGTGCACCTTAGGAATAATCTGTTGTTAGCCGTATGCTCTCAATGTGTTATAGAAATTTGACTGTAAATCATGTTTAGGCTATATGTTGGTACTGTAGGGACCCACAGAGGCCGTGTTACATGTTGAATTATCTACTAATTGTTGTTTATACTCAGTCTCAGTTTTACTTGCATATCATATCTCAGTCTCTATTGTTCCTTATTGATACATCATATCATTGCTGTTTGGGTTGATTTTCATAATCACTGAGAGCCCGAGAGACTGGAGTGGTTGATGACTGAGTGAGGCCGAGGGCCTAATTGTGAGGATATTTATGGGACCGGATTGCATGCCGCAACATGTTTCATTGACTTATTCCATGATTGGCTTGTTATAGCGCTTGGGCTGAAGAAGCTCCTCCGGAGTCTGTACACACCCCAGTGAGCGCAGGTACCCACTGAGTGCGGTTCTGAGTGTCGAGTGTCGAGTGCTGAGCGACTGAGAGGAAAGAGTGACTGAGAGGAATGAGTGACTGCGAGAAATGAGTGATTGTGAGGTTGGAATGAATGGGAGGAAGTGTGACTGTTGCTCTGAGAGAATGCATTTGATTTCATTATTGTTGCACATAGCTTCCATATATCACTATCTTCAAATTTCTAATAGATATTATATTTTGTTTCACTTGAACTTGACATGAGGTAACTGATTTGACCTAAATTGTCGAACATGAAAGCATGCCTACCTTCCTATGTTGAAATTACTGTAATTGAACTATAGGTGTGAAGCTCGTCACCACTTTCAGTTCTTTATTTAGTCTTGTTACTTACTGAGTTGGTTGTACTCACGCTATACCCTGCACTTCGTGTGCAGATCCAGGTATTTCCGGACACGGCAGGTATTGATTCCTTTGCATAGTTGATTGTCTGGATATTTCAAGGTAGCTGCCTGACGTTCACAGATCTTGTCTCTCCTTCCCTATCTTTCCGCTTATTGTATTTAGTTCCAGACTATCATAGATAGTATTTTTCCAAACTTGTGATGTATAGATTCTCATGAACTCTGTGACACCCCGATGTTGGGAATTTCCACGTTATGTTTCTAGGTTTTTCTATCCCGTTTAAGAGAACTTTTATTATTTAAAATTGCTTTAACTCATTATCTATTAAAAATGTTGGAAATATTTTGAAATGTCAGGTTGCCTAGTACCACGTTAGGCACCATCACGACAGATTAGGATTTTAGATTGTGATAAGTTAGTATGAGAGCCTAGGTTACATAGGTCTCACGAGTCATGAGCAGGTTTATTAGAGTCTTGTGGATCGGTAAGGAGACGTCTGTACTTATCTTCGAGAGGCTGTCGAACCCTTAGGAAACATCACATTATTATATTCTTATCACGCGGATTTGTTGATTCCGGTAACTAAACTTCTATTACTCTATTCTCTCACAGATGGTGAGGACACGTGCTACTGGATAGGACGGACAACCACCAGTACCACCAGCTAGGGCCGCGAGAGGCCGAGGCCGCGGTAGGGGCAGAGGTGGAGCTCGTACAGCTGCTAGAGTAGCTCCTGTAGACCCACCAATCGCTCCAGCTTAGGAGCAGGTACCAGATACGGTTGAGCCAGTGGGGCCAACTCAGGCACTAGCTGTGCCTATTGTGATTCCAGGCTTTCAGGAGGCTTTGGCTCAGATTCTGACCGTGTGCACTAGCCTTGCTCAGGCGGTCTCAGTTCCAGCCGCAACAGCCACTTCTCAAGCCGGGGGAGGTACCAAGACTCCCGCCGCCCGTACACTAGAGCAAGTGATGCAGGGATTGTAGACACCAGGGGCACTACCAGCCCAACGGTTGCAGCGGCTCAAGCCCAGGTGGTTCTTGTTATGACTGATGATGAGAAGAGAAGACTCGAGAGATTTGGGAGGCTTCAACGTCCATCATTTAAGAGTCAGAGGATGCCCAGGGCTTCTTGGATAAGTGCCAACGGATTCTTCGTATGCCAGGTATTTTGGAGACCAATGGGGTCTCGTTCACTACTTTTCAGTTTACTAGGGCTGCCTTCAGATGGTGGGAAGCTTATGAGAGGCGTAGGCTGGTCGGTGCAGCACCACTTACATGGCAAGAGTTCTCCGTTCTCTTCCTGGAGAAGTTCGTGTAGCTGTCTCGCAGGGAGGAGCTATGCAGACAGTTTGAGCTACTATAGCAGGAGGGCATGTTTGTGACTCAGTACGAGATGAGGTTTTCAGAGTTAGCTCGTCATGTAGTTTGGTTGGTTCCTACTAATAGGGATAGGATTAGGAGGTTCATTAATGGCCTCACATATTATCTGCGATTGCTTATAACTCGGGAGAGGGTATCTGGTTTTACTTTCAACGAGGTTGTTGATATTGCTCGGCAGATATAGATGGTACATAGCCAGGAGCGCAGAGAGAGGGAGGCCAAAAGGCCTCATGGATTGGGTAGTTTTAGTGGTGTTCCTTCTGGGGGTCAGTTCTACCCCAGCAGGGGTCGTCCTTACAGGCACGCTCAGACGGCTCGTCCAGTTCACCGGGGTGCATCATCCAGCCATGGTTCATACAATGCTCATCAGGGTCAGTCATCTCTTAGTGCCCTTCCCGCTCAAAGTTCGTCTCTTGCTCCATCGGTTTAGGGTTCATCTATGCCAGGTCCTTCTAGTAGTTATCCCGGTGCTCGGGGCTCCCTTCAGTCTCCACCACCATCACCGGGGAGTTTCTTTGAGTGCGGGGAGTTTGGGCATGTGTGGAGGCAGTGTCCTTGTCACCTGGGAGGTCCAGTGCAACAGAGGAGTCAGGCTGTGACTTCCGCATGAGTTATTTCACCACCCGCCCAGCCAGCTCGGGTGGGGCCCAGGCAGCTAGAGGTCGCCCTAGAGAGGGAGGCCGATCAGGTGGCAGTCAGGCCCGGTTCTATGTTATTCCTGCCAGACCAGATGTTGTTGCTTCAGATGCAGTGATTACAAGTATTGTCTCAATATGCCACAGGGATGATTCTGTATTATTTGAGCTTGGTTCCACTTATTCGCATGATCATCGTATGTTGCTCATTACCTGGGTATGCCCCGTGAGTCTTTAGTTTCATTTGTTCATGTATCTACGCCAGTGGGCGATACTATTGTTGTGGACCGTGTATATCGGTTGTGTGTAGTGACTATTGGGGGATTGGAGACTAGAGTTGATCTCTTATTGCTTAGTATGGTTGATTTCGATGTGATCTTGGGTATGGATTGGTTTTCTTCATGTCATGCTGTTCTGGATTGTCACGCTAAGACCGTGACGTTGGCGATGCTGGGGCCGCCATTGATTGAGTGAAGAGGTTCTCTAGACTATGTTCCCAGTAGAGTGATTTCATACTTGAAGGCCCAGCAGATGATTGGGAAGGGATGTCTGTCTTATTAGGCCTTTATAAGGGATGTTGGTGCTGATACCCCTACTATTGATTCTGTTCTGGTGGTACGAGACTTTCTAGATGTGTTTCCTGCAGACCTGCCGGGCATGCCGCCCGACAGGGATATTGACTTTGGTATTGACTTGGCCTATTTCCATTCCTCTGAATCATACGGCACCAACTAAGTTGAAGGAATTGAAATAGCAGCTTCAAGAACTTCTTGATAAGGGATTTATTAGGCCTAGTGTGTCACCATGGGGTGCACCAGTTCTGTTTGTGAAGAAGAAGAAGGATGGTGTCATGCGTATGTGCATCGATTATAGGCAGTTGAACAAAGTTACAATGAAGAACAAGTATCATTTGACGCACATTGATGATCTAATTGACTAACTTCAGGGAGCAAGGGTGTTCTCCAAGATTGATTTGAGGTCGGGGTATCACCAGTTGAAGATTCGGGACTCGATTATTTTAAAGACAGCATTCAGGACCCGTTATGGTCATTATGAGTTCCTTGTGATGCCTTTTGGGCTGACCAACGCCCCAACATCATTTATGCATCTAATGAACAGTGTATTTCAGTATCTCGACTCGTTTGTCATAGTATTCATTGATGATATCCTGGTGTACTCTCGTAGCTAGGAGAAGCATGCCCAGCATTTGGGGATTGTGTTGCAGCGGTTGAGGGAGGAGAAGCTGTATGCCAATTTCTCCAAGTGTGAGCTCAGTTAAGTGATGTTCTTGGGGCACGTGGTGTCCAGTGAGGGGATTCAGGTGGATCGAAAGAAGATAGAGAC